TTTCTATTGTCGCAGCTGCCTCTTAGGGATAGTATGAAGCTTAAATGAGAGTTGTTGTTGTTCAAAGGCCAGGCCCAGACTCCAAGGAGAACATGCCCAGGTGGGATGGAAGGCAATATGGGAGTGTGTGTGTGTGTAGTCTGTTCCTACTCGATGGCACATGACAACTCATAACAAAGATTGTGAGGGCACAGGACTGTAGCTAGATCCCCGACAGTAACCAAAACACAGTCCACATTACTGTTCATTGGTGTTTGTAATGTTCCTTCCTGTCACATCAAAAGCTTACTCATTCCACAGACTGAGATGTTCAACTTCAGGTTATCAGATGTTCTCTAATATTTTCACTGGCCAACTTTTTTGTAAGAAAGATGACAGGGTTGTATTCTTTCACCATACTTATTCAACCTGTATGCTGAGTTCTATGAAGAAAAACATGGCATCAGGATTGGAAGACTCATTAACATGTGATATGCCAATGATACAACCTTGATCGCTGAAAGTGAAGAGGACTTGAAATATTTACTTATGATGATCAAAGAGCACAGCCTTCAGTATGGATTGCATCTCAATGTGAAGAAAACAAAAATCCTCACCACTGGACCAATAAACAACATTCTTATCAATGGAGAAAAGATTGAGGTTGTCAAGGACTTCATTCTTCTTGGATCAACTATCAACACTCGTGGAAGCAGCAGTCAAGAGATCAGACGATGTATTGCATTGGGCAAATCTGCTGCACAGGAACTTTTTAAAGTATTGAAGAGCAGAGATGTCACTTGAGGACTAAGGTGCGCCTGACCCAAGCTATGGTATTTTCAATAACCTCAAATGCATGTGAAAGGTGGACAGTGAATAAGACCACAGTATTGAGGCCTTTGAGTTAAAGTGCCATGGGCTGCCAAAAGAGCTAATGGATCCATGTTGGAAGTGCAGCCAGAGTGCACCTTAAGAGGCCAAGATGGCCAAGGGCCTCATGCTTTGGACATACTGTCAAGGAGGTAGTCTCTGGAGGATGTTTGGTGGAGGGAGAGAGAAGACCTCCAGTGGGATGGACTGGCCCAGTGTGGCAACAGTAGTGAAGTTGGCCCACTTAACCTGGAACTCATGTTTGGTAAGGTGGGTTAGAGAAAGAGGAAGCCCAAAAGAGATGAATTGGCCAAGTGGCAGCATCAGTGGGCTCAAGGCAGGCAGTGTTTCGGTTGTTATGCATTGTCAGTACTGACCTAACTTGAAACTCATCTAGCTGGAACCTGTCCACCTTTGCATGTGCTCCAAATCCAATTCTTAGCAAGTCCTAAGCATTTGCTAATACAATCCTCATCCCCCATGTTAGGGGATGAAGCGTCCACACAAGGCCTGACCACCTACACTTCAGGAAACCAGCCCATGACAAATCCTGGGGGCCGTAGGTCAGTCTAGCCCAGTAGTGGACCTAGAGCTCCTCCAGGTGGTGGTCTTGCAGGGTAAATGGCCACAGCCAGTCAAGGACACCCAGTCTACCAACCTAAGAGCCAGCAGGGTGCAGGTGAGAGGTTGGACAGGCTGTTCTACTTCTGTAACGTTCTCATCTGTACAGTGAAGCTCAGCTTTTCTTGAAGTCAACAGCTCTAGGTGCTGTGCAAGACTCCACAGAACCTTCAACAAGCACTTTGGATCCTGCTGGGCGGGCCATGGGCACCCCAGCCTTCTTGTACCACACCTAATCCCCCATCTGTCCTCCATGTGAAGCTGCCCCTGTGGAAATTAAGGACTCAGGTCATGTGACCTATACCAGTGCCTTCCACAGACCCGTGATGTTCTGTCCTGCTGTGCTCACGCCAATCCATTACCCTGGTGCCAGGACATCACGAACCTTCAGCAGGGTCTGGGACTCAGGGCCAAAGCAACCAAGTGGGGCGTGGGGCGATGGCAGACTTGTGCTGCCTTCCCACCCCTGGGGCTGCTTCCCTGGACCAAGTCAGGAGACAGAAGCCACTGGAAAATAGTTTTTATTGAGGTTCCACCAGCTGCACACATTAAGCACCTTCTTCCTTTGCAATTCGGTCTTTCTTAAGTGGTCCCTGTGGGGAGAGGTACAGAAGGTAAATCTCAGAAGTGCAGGCAGGTGGCCACAGAACTCAGTGACCGTATGTTATGAGTCCCTTGACTCACAACCATCTTGTCTAAGGGTTTCCACCCAGGACTCTATAGGACCAGAGTCAAACATGCCTACAGTGCTGTAATGCCTTCTGGGTTCAAACACCGCCCCTTCTTCTTTTGGTTGTTAAAGTACCATCCCATAGGAACCCTGTATTGGGTTTCCAAGGAGCAGGACTACACACCACTCACCATCAACTCACCCTATAAAACCCACCACTCCTACACCTCCTGCAGACCCAGACACCAGTAGCCCCACACTTTCCTCTGCCACCCTGCCTTCTCCCCACCCAGGCCACAGCTAGCTCAGGCAGCTCACCATGAACGCCTTCTTCTCCTCCACCGTCTGGAAGCGGCCATGGCCAAACTTGGAGGTGGTGTCGATGAACTTGAGGTCAATCTTCTCCAGTGCCCGGCGTTTGGTCTGTACCAGCAAAGACTGTAGAACCAAAGGTCTTTCTTAGTGTATCAACTCACAGCGCCCAGCACCCGCACTGAGCCCAGGGACACAGGTGGAGCCCCCACCCATCCCACCAGGAGCCAAGGATACATGTGAACCAAGAACCAAACAGGTCAGACTGGGAACTTCCTCCCTACACTTCAAACCTCTGCTTTACGCCCGGCAGGCAGATGGGCAGGCCCCACACCTCACCTTGCGCAATGTGAGCACTCGCTTCTTGGTCCCCACCACACAGCCTTTCAGCATGACAAAGTCGTTGGTCACTTCACCATAGTGGACAAAACCACCCTGGGAGAGAAGGCCAAAGGGTCAGCAAGGGTCTCAAGCATGGGATGGGGGCAGAGATCTGTGATCCACAGGCCAGGACAAGTCCAACTGGCAGCATCAGCTGCAAATACTCCTATGAATCACCTAGTCACCTCCCCCTCTAGCACCTGACTCCCCACCCAGACCACCCAGGGAGGCCTCAGATCAGAGACTGGGAAAGACAGCTAATGACTCACCAGAGGGTTGATGCTCTTGTCAGACAGATCGTAATCAGTGGAGGCATTGTTTTTGATCAGTTTGCCATCTTTGATAAGGTAGCCCTGGCCAATCTTGTAGATCTATAAAGAGAAGAGCATTTGAATAAAAGCTCCTGAAGAAGTGGAAGATTGGGCATGGGGGAGAGAAGCCCAGAGGCCTGCTCAGCGCAAATAGAAGGGGCAAAGCATCGACCTTCTGTTACTGCAGTAACATGCGGGAGACGTGCCTCACCTTCTTGTTGATCTCAGTGCGGTGGTGGTAACCCTTCTGCCCAGCACGCGCCACAGAGAAGGCCACGCGGGCAGGGTGCCAGGCCCCAATACAGGCAACTTTGCGCAGGCCTCGGTGGGTCTTGCGGGGTAGCTTCTTGGTGTGCCAGCGGCTGGTGACTCCTGGAATGGACACAACTTGCTGTTATGGTGGGAAGGAGGGCAGCCCTTCCTGTCACCCAGTTTGAGGTACTAGCAGAGAAGACACAAGCAGAGGTGGACCCCCAGAGTCAGGACAGACAGGACACTCCACAGATTGGTGGCAGAGGCATCTGTACCTAACAGCTTAACTTTCTCCCAAATGCACAGAAACCCACCCTTCAAATTCATTTGCAGTAGCTGCAGATGTTCCTACCCTGACCCAGGGCTGTTCTCAGAAGGAAGGCAGCAAGGAATGTTTCCGCAGTTTGACTCGGGCGCTGTGCCCAGCGCTCATTCCAGAGCCTCATCAATGAACAGCCAAGGGGACTGAGACCACTCCCCAAGGGCGACCAGAACAACTCACCTTTGTAGCCCTTGCCCTTGGTCACCCCGATGACATCAATCATCTCATCCTGCCCGAACACCTGGTTCACAGGCACCTGCTGCTCCAGCTTCTCCCGGGCCCAGTCCAGTTTCTCGGCCACTGTGCCCCCATTCACCTGAATCTCCATCAGGTGGGCCTTCTTCTGGCGCAGAGGAAGCAGGCGCATCTGCAGGACAGAGGTCACTGAGCTCCCCTCTCTGCTGTCAGAGGGGGCCTGGGGCAGGGGGTCTGTTATTGCCCTGGACTTCCCTCCACATTTCAGTAAACCGAGGGACCTTCCTGATTCCCACCATGCTAACTCCCACAATGGAATTCTGGTCCCTGCTCAGGGGGACACCTGGGGGCCCCATGGCAGCACAAGACTGGACCAGATCCTGGGATCAACTCTATCTTCCTTTCAGCCAGCTCCTTCCTGTCAGTTCTGATTCAGTCACCCTGATAGGGGTTTCCATGAAGCAGCTGGTAGGTTCGAACCACCAACCTTGCAATTAGTAATCAGTGTATTCTATAGTGTTACACAGCCTTATGTGTCCTGGTGTGGCACTGTGGGTTAATGCACCAGACTGCAAAGCCATTTGAACTGCAGGGCCGGTGGTTCAAGCTCACCAGTCACTCCTCAGAAACCCTATACAGGGTCAACTATGGGTCAGAACCGACTCAGTGGCACTTAACACGGCCTTATAGAAAACCACCTATTCTCGCAAGCTTCTTAGGCTGATCACAAAGCTAAACGAGGAAATTAAGTCAGGCATGAAGCACTCAAAAGCTGTCCACTGGGAACTTCAGTGGCAGCAATCTGCTGTTAGCCACCACACTGGGCAGCCCAGGCTAGAGGGCAGCAGTGTGTAGGAGCCGGGGCAGGCACCCACAGGCTGGGCTTGCAGCCTCCCTCTCACCAGCTATCTGGTCGCCATTTTACAAGGTTGTCACCATGAACAGTTTCTCTCAAAGGGGGAATGGTGCCCCCTGCTGGCAGGAGAAAAGCACCAAGTAGAGAGGGGAATCCAGGCATCTGATTGGTCATGGTGTCAGCTCTGTGCACACTGACCTCTCCTCTACCAGGCCTTGCACAAAGTTGCTCCACCAGGTGAGTGAGGTGTCGCAGTGCCATGAGGGGCTCACCTGGGTGTGGGCGATGACACGGATGACCTGGCAATACTTCTTCATGCTGCTGAAGTCTTTCTCCAACTGCTTCTTGCCATCGTCGTCCTGCCACT